CGACCATTCTCATTCATGACGCAAGTCTCTCCACTTTGCAGATATTTGCTTGCCCTAACGATTTCAGAAGAGGAGATCAAAAAAAAAGAGGAGCTTTCGACCGCAGGTTGTTATTTTATAAGCCACTGGGGACGACGAAGCACAACCATACCATGTGACACTGTAGTTGAAAATGACTGTTTACCACACGAATAGGTTGTTTTTACAACGCTGAATAAGCCGTTTACTTTGCTTACTTTGCAAGACAAGAACTTGTTTACTACCTTTTCCTCCTAAAATCGCGTAAATAATCAACTTCATGGATACTGCGACTTCATAGATCAAGGCAACTGACTTGGCAACTCCTTGGAGCCAACTGATTCTTGATGAAAAGTCACGCACTACCAGCTGTTGTTCAAGGCAAATATGCATTCTAAAGAGTGTTCGAATGTTTGACCCTCTAGAAATGATTTCCAGTATTTCTAGCGATCGAAAACTCCCTATGCATTCGTCCTCCACGAAGATCTTCAAACATTTCTTAAACAATCCCAACTGCTGCTTGAGCATTTCGTCTTCCTCGTGACTGGCATAGAACCGACCTGGGTCAAGTTAAACCTCCTTAGAATTTCGGAAAAACCCGAGCTGGGGTGGTTCATGTAGCACTCGCTGATTGACAGCGGGGAAGTGCTGCGGTAGAATTCGACCCAGAACCTTGTTTCGATCTACCTAAAGCTTAGTATGGAGCCAGAGGCCGCCCGCCGCCGGAACGTCAATCATTATTTCCATTTTACAAAGTTCAAGTTATTCAATAATCCTAGTACTACGAACATCAGATCTGTCAACTAAGAGACGACTTGAAATCAAATCAAATCAACAAAGAAATCAATAAATCGATCGAATGGATCATCAAATCACTTTCATCATGATGAAACACTTTCAAAGGTGGTGCAGTCTACACAATTTTGAGCGCTTTTATTTTTTCAAGACCCTTACCCAATCTAATTTCTAATGCGAAAACGCAAGCTCCAGAGCCTGACATTATCGATCGTAGGTCACTAGGGCCATATTCATTCACGGGCAGGTCTCCCTGACTAGCAGCTTTTCATCTGCCTAACTAAATTTCAAAGCCGCAACCGAAAAAAAACTCAAGAGCGTGGGATTATCGATCGTAGATCGTTAGAAGCCCTCTCGGATCACATTCGTTTGTGATGCAATCGTTAATTTGCAGCGTATATCACCCTAATTGCAGCCTTTTAATTTTGCCCAGCTCAATTTCAAAGGCCAGAACAAAAAACTCAAGAGCTTGGGGTTATCGACCGTAGGTCATTACGGGCCATCTGGGACCAAGCTCATCAAGATCTGCAGTCTCAACATGCAGCTTTCCACCTGCCCACTTTAATTTCTAGTGCAAAAATCAGAGACCCAGTGTCTGACACTATCGATTGATTGTAGGTCACCCCAGATCACCACGACCCCGACCACATTCACTCATGGCGCGATTTCTCACTTGCGCAACTAAATTCCAAAAGTGAAAACAAAAAAGAAAAACTCAGGAGTCCGAGGCTATCGATTGTAGATCAATTTAGAGTGAATGAGTGAGTGAAAACGACGACAGACAACCATACCATGTGCAACTGTGTGGTTGAAAATGACTGTTTACTACACACGTGGGTTGTTTACATCGCAGCTGTTTATTGATCAAGGGGAAAACTTGTTACTACGTGTTTAAAAAATCAATCAGAAATTCATTTATTTGACCGGTCTTGCGGTCCTATGATCTCCTAATATACCCAATAATGTGGGGCGCTGTGCAAAAGCGTTTGCGTCAGGCGGGATTCCATCCCAGATTTCACTCTTTTCGGGAGTGTATGCTAACCGTTGCACCATCGATGCTCGTTTTGCACAGCACTACATGTATACATCCGAAATTACGAGATTGATCTACCTCCCGAATACTGCGAATCAATTTGATCTACCTAGGCTCTCTAGGAAAGCAAGGGCCGCCGTTGCCGTGTTGCCGTTGCGTCAGCGATTCTTTTACTTGGCTCTTCTCGTGGAGAGTTGTGGTCTCAGCAATTTTCAAAGCATTTTTTAAAATTATTTTTTTTTGGAAAAGAAAATTACGAGAGCACGCTTAGGCTTAAAAAAATGATCTCACCACTACCGTATTTTCTTCTACTAAGTTTTTTTTTGAAAAAAACCTATTAAAGCTCAAAAACGAAAGAAAGACACAGTGAATTCGATGAGTGACTGACTGACTGTTACTTACCATATCAGGTGTGTGTTTTTTCTTTCGCGTGTATGTGATGAGAATGAGAATTCAAATCAGAGTGGACGAGTAGAGTAGTAGTGGTGGTGGTGGTACGCCAATCTTTCACTTGAAAGGGCGTACTGGGCCGAAGGCAAAGCAAGAAAAAACAATAGAAATTCCTAAGAAGAAACTCTCTGTTTCAATCTGAAATCACACATAGCCGAATATGGAGGCTGCACTGAGAGCGAATCCAATAGGGAAATGAGGCGAAAAGATTCAAGATAAGACAAAACTCTGCCTTCATAACAAGCGCCTTTTTCAAGGCGGAAAAAGAGAAAAGGAGGAAAAAGAGAAAAAAAGAAGAAAAAGAGAGAAAAAAAAGAAGGATTCGGGCGCCGACATGAGGGCAAATCGCGACCGAATCAAAGTGGGAAACGGTTAAAAATCGGACTTTTTGATGAGCAGCGATGACGGACAACACAAAAGTGCACCCACCGGCGACGAACATCGACGACAGCGGCGATGGCGGCCAGGTGGGGATGAAGCGCCCCGTCACCGAACCCCCGTCAATCAATAATCGCTCCGACATCGATCGCTGGCGTTGCACCAACGCAACGGCATCGGCATCGGCATCGGCAACGGCAACGGCGACTGGCCACCAAAACTTCCGTCAGTCGATAATCGCTTTGCGATCGTCGCCGGCGTATGCACCAACGCAACGGCGATTGCCAAGTGGCGGTGCGCGACGTCGCCGGCCGCGACTGACCCCGTCAATCGATAATCGCTTCGCCATCGATCGCTGGCGTATGCACACCCAACGGCGAACGACGAGGTGGTGGCTCGTCACGTTGACGGCCTCAACTGACCAACGAACCGCCGTCAATCGATAATCGCTCCGACGTCGATCGCTGGGACCATCACTGCCGGCGACGGCGACGGCGACGGCAACTGGCGTGGTGACGGCGCGCGACGTCGCCGACCGCGAATGACCGCTGTCGATAGCGGTCGCTGGCCGGCCTGCATTAGCCGTCAGCCAGCCCACCGCAGCAGCAGCAGCACACCCACCACCAAGCGGTACCGGCAGGTCGGGTCGCGGGCCGGCGCGATGCGGTGCGGCATGCCGCGGCCGCCGCGTCACTGGCGGGTGCTGTGGCCGCTCACCGCTCATCGCTGCGGCTGCTGCTGATGCTGATGGTGATGCTGTCTCTGTCACCCCACCTAATTATTGATCGACGACGCAGCCAACACATGAAGGCGCTCGTGGAAGCGTCACTGATGGCCCGCCCGATGACCGGCTGGCTGGCAGAGTGGCTCAAGGGTTAGCCCCACCCTCCACCTTCTCTTACCCTCTACCCCCATACCCTTCCCATTGCAAGCCCCGCCTCGAATATGGGCTGGGGTGAGGTTTGGCTCGTTTGGCTCACTCTAAGTGACCAAAGGATGTTGGACTCGTCATATTTACGCAAAAAGTTCGCCCTAAAAGTCTTGTTGGTGATGCCGTGGTTGCTTTTGCCAAGAACATTCAGTGAAGGACTTTTCTCAGGAAGGATATGGGAGAGGAGGCGGAATGGCGGGGATCTGAACTAATCGGAGATGTGGAAAAGCTCGCGTGATCATGGGGTTACCTACTTGCAGACCAACGACGGCGCACTGACTCAAGGGTCAGCCCCGTTGGAATCCCGCTTCGAAAGAGCGTCGGGAGTGGATCTGGCTCGTTGACCTGGTAAGCCCCACCCTTGCCGTCGAAATCCCCGCTTTGAAGGTGGGTTGGGACTGGGTTTAGTTCGCTGCGATCACTTGAAGTGACCAACGGATACACGACTCATCATATTTACGCAAGTTCTCCCTAGCAGGTACGGTGGTGATGCCCTGAATGTTGTCGCCAAGAACTTCGAATGAAGGACTTTTCTCAGAGGGGGTAGGGGTGAGCAGGCGGGGGAAGGGTTGAAGTAATATGAGATACATGAAAGCTTGACTGATCACGAGGGGTTGTTTGGCTGATTGACGACGGCGCACTGACGCAGGGTCAGCCCCCGTCGGAATCCCCGCTTCGAAAGTGCACTGGGATTGCATTTGGCTTGTTGGGATCATTTTAAGTGACCAGAACGCTTACGGAGCTCTTCATATTTTCGTAAGACCTTCTTCCTGGCAGGCTTGGTAAATGCCCTGATATTGTCTCGAAGAGCTTTACGCTGGCGTTTCACTCCACCTCCTCCGACTCCTTTACCTTACTTCCCCACGATAATACAGGGCGATAATTGAACAGCTGTGAAAGTCACTCGTGGATTCTTCCAAGGAATCTGATTGACCTTGTGTGAAAGTCTTCACTGAGGAAGACAGGGGGTAGGGAGTAGAGGAAAGGGGAGGAGGGATCCAGGTTTTGGGCAACCACAAGGTTCCTACTCAACAGACGATGATGTTTCATGAGCTGCTATACAACAACTTCATAACCAAACACTTCGCCATTCTATAATAAGGCCGTCGACTCACAAAGGGAGGCCGGACTGGAGCGCTACCTCTCCAAAATCATTTAAAAAAGCAACCGTCGTGGACGACGTGTGAAAAACGTAATGATATAATATGAGGTAAAATCTTGACATCCATAGATGCCGAGTGGTATGCAAAAGTTCGCACCCCGAGCCGGAGTTGAACGCGCTTACCGTTTCGGGGGGGGGGGGGGGGGTGCGTGTTGGCTACTGCAATACGGAGGAGGAGGAGGGGGGTCTTCTGCTTTGCTAACACCAGCAGTACTTGGTTTTTACAGCGTCCGACCTCGGTGGTGTAGTGGTAGAACGCGCTCCCAGTATGGGTGAAACACGGGTTCAATACCCGCCTGAGATTGGCAGTTTTGCATATCACTCAGCGTCATTGGAGACATAGTTGGTACATCATAAAATTGCTATAAGACGGGTAAAATAAGAAAAATCTCGTAGATTATCGTATAGTCAATCGAACATCAGTAATAGTAGCTATGATAGTAGTAGCAATTGACAGTAGTGATAACAATTAATGAAGTGGTAATAGTACTGGTAATTATCAATAATTAATGATAATAACGAGGGAGCGGAGCAGCGCAGTGGTTAGTCATGCACTGCTTTGAAAAGCAAGGTGATAAGCAAGGCGCTGGGTCGATCTCCTTCACAGCACTACCTTAAGAACAGTCAATGAACTGCTTAGCTAACAGAAAGTAATACTAATGTGTAGTAGCGAGCAACCCCTCCCAAATGGTCCACCGCATCCTCGTGGCTAGGAGGTGTTCTTGGGTGTCGAACTACGAAGTACGGCGGGAGGTTCAACCCCCGCCAGCAGGGCTACGCAAACTGAGAAGGAGTTCGACGTTAGCACTCGGAAAGCCCAGTTACTGTACCAAGAATGACCGTCGTTTCCGTAGCTACTAGTCACAATGTGGTAGTCTCCATCTGATGCACATGGGCCGACGACTGCTCTGATGTGTGGACGACCTGAGGAAGCCCCGGTTAGGCTCACTTCGGGAATTCGGAGAACAAAACAACTAAACCAGCACATTTTGATGTGCTGGGGTCCCTACAATTTGTGGAGAAGGACCGTCCATGTAATCAAGTACGAATCATCGACCAGTTACAATGAATAATGATGATACTAAGCAGTAAACGGTACAAAATATTTCATCATAATCACATTCACAAGAACGAAGGGATAGGAATTCAGTTGGTGTTTATCTGTAAAATATTTCGAGTCATTATCAAGGAGGCAGAGAAGGATGGGAGGTGCTAGGCGCTTCGATAAGAAAAAACTACGAAATGAACACTGGGGCGACCATACTCCCGTTGAGTGGGAAGGCTGCAGAATACAAACTTGATATGATGAAGACCTATTGGATTCGAGTGTACTAAGGAGAATTGACACACGTAAAGAAGTCAGTCGACATAGGGTACGAAGTTATTTAACCTTTAGTGTCCACTCCTTTCGACATTTACATTTACATTTACTGTGCGCTCCTTTTTTACTGTTCCTTCCTGTTTCAATGGGTTCACTACCAGTTTGTTCTCCTCAGAACTTTTCAACCGAAGGACGATCGATATAGCTGAGAAAGTGTCAAAGAATGGAAGCCTGGATAGGTGTAGTGGATGGCATGTGATTACCATGAAATGGACGATTACGAGTTCGAATCCCAGGCGAGGTTCTGGGTTCTGCTTGTATCTCGGGATTGTTGCGTCTGATTTTTAAGACAAAAATTTGGTATCTCAAACGGAAATTTATGGAGATAGTGATAATAAAAAGAAAATGAAAAAATTCTCTGCATTTTTATGCAAACCAATAATAGAATGATATTCGTAACAAACGTGCAAAAAAAAGTGATGTTCACATCGCTACAGTGGTAATCTTCATGACTACATGGCTATTGTAATGTTAACTTTAGTCAATGAGAGTAAGGGAACAAAGAGAATATTAATCAATTTGTACTTTTTTTTTGTAAGCCAAAACTCGAGGTTGACACAGTACAGTTTCTTTGGAATGCCTCACATTTTGACGATTTTGCCTTCCTCAAAATATGAGAGGATCAGGTTGGTTTCCACTTAAACAATTCAGTGGAAGGCTTATAAAAAGCGGTGAATATGTTTAAGGTTGTTTTGTCCTTGATACCAATGAGATCTAAGCCTGATGAGTTTTTTTCAAATGAAGTTGAAGTTGTTTAGCTAAGTGTGTTAGGGATGGCCCTACTTTCCAGGCTCTGGAAAAGGTGAAGCCTCCAAAACGTCAGCTGTTTGAATATATTGTTTTATATCAGCCCCGCGTTTTGGCCTGCAAGAAGTTTGAATTATTGAACAATGCCCAGATTGACAGATAGTCGATCGTGAGAATTACTATTTAATCTGACAGATTTTACTCCAAGGATCTCACAGATGAAAAACGCAAAATGTTTTTGAACAGCTAATAGCATGAGACCGGTATTTCGTTTAGCGGCAAAGACAGCAAACATCTATTGCAAACGACTGAAATAATGGGCAGAATTGATAGGTACCAGTGCTCATAAATGTAATTTGGTGAAAACGGAATTCTCTAGCACCGAAAACTGATAAAAACCTAAGATAGACATTGATGAGAAATAATAGGTCGTAGGAAAAGTTCTGTCGTAATTTCAAAATGCATAGAAAAAATTTATTTGCATACCAATTAAGCTCAATCAAAAGGCAAATTGATAGCCGAAGTAGTCTTTTTTCACATCAAGACAATTCTCCCGAAGAATGTGCAAACTGTCGTTGGATCATAATCTAATTCGTCAGCCAAGATCCGGCAACATATCTGTGGATCTTCTTCAGTTCGGCAGACGACTGCTTGGTGATCGACGTCTCGTGGACGTTCCTCTTTTGGCTTATCAGTCAATCCGTCTCTTTCTTCACAAAATGTCTCGAAACAACGCTGAGCAGTACGAATATCGCCAATTTTCGCCACCATATGCCTTGCAGATTTGTCAATGAGCCTTAGAAGCCTTGACGCCCAATTTGTAGTTGAAGTGGGGCAGGAGACGAGATTTTCCTTGGACAGTTCTATTCTGAAGGCTGTGTAGACAAGTGATAAATCGTTCGACGCGCAAGAAAACGAGTTTTTGTGAGTTTTAATTTACACAAAAACATTTGCAATATCATTTTCTCACGAAATAGAACAGAACTTTTGTTACAGCCTATAAGCATTGTGCAAAACCTCGTGACTTCGAAAACGATTTGTCCGCCATGGAGGCTTGGAGGCTGTAGTGGAAATAAGCAGCTGTGATTCCGATAAATAGACCCATAACAGATGCTGGTTTGCATTGTGGTACACTTGAATGGCTAATGAATCCAATATGAAGTCGTATGACACAAGTTATGTGAACTTTTCATGATACTAAGATGCGAAGATTCTCAAGCACTCCAACCTCGAAATGTGAAAGAAAAACAAACCTTGAGAAAACTTCGAGAAAATACCAGTAAGCTGTGGGATGAATTAGTAAACGATTGGTTCTATTAACATTGCCACACGTAGAGAATTTCTAGTACAGAAAAAGTGCAAACCAATACTCAGATTGATGCTCAGAAAGCAATGAGGAGCTGTGAAATTACAGAGTGCACTAAAGTAGGTTAAGCCAACTTGGTAAAGTTCAACACGCGAACTCCACAAAATCGGATATAGGGTTCAAAAGGCGAACTCCAGACAATCGGGTATAAAGTTCAACAGACGAACTTTAGAAAATCGGATGTAAAGTTCATAAGGCGAACTCCATAAAATCGGGTACACCAGCGAAACCTTTGATAATAACTTCAATAGCGGGATATTATTTTTCATGGTTGCTCATCTTCTAAAGATATATGTAATTGTTGGTTAGTAGAATGAAAGGGTACAGTTCCTCCTAGTTTATAGTAATTTCGATATATTTTATTGAGCTATTCCAAAAGTCTTTTCTTTGTGCAGAAGAGGCAAAAACAGAGGCTATGGTACTGTCGCAGCAACTCGCTCATTTATCTTACGTGAAGGTTTTGAGTATATATCTCTTATTCGTCAGAAAAGGAGAGTTAGATCAAATGTGGTTAAATCTAGAATAAAATATGCTGATAGAATTTCTCGCTAATAATGGGCAAAAAATCAAGCAAAATCACGGTAAAAGTACCAAAATTAACAAACAGGAGAAGAAAAATTAGCAATTTCATTATTTACTGTCCTATCTTAGCGTATTAATGACACTGAGTAACAAAAACATTCAACTGCTAATCTTCTGAAAGGGTCTGTGAGAATGTTTAGAGCCTTTTCGAGGTTGATACGTTAGTGGCTTCCGTACGTCTCGGCGCTTATCAAATCCAAATGCCCTGAACACGAGGTTTGAAAACAGTCGATTGGAAGGATGTTTACATATTCACTAGTCGCTGTTATTCATCGACTGAAAAAAATGGTGAAAACATAATTTTACGTGCTATCATTATAACGATCTCCCCATCCCTAGCTATAAAATAGGGTTCAGTGTGGGGCTTTGGCTGTGATGAAGCGGGTGATACCACCGAAAGTCCTTGACGTACCAACTTCAAAAAAGCTTTGAATATTCCCATAGATATATCGAATGTTTATAACGAGGTAAAAATAGTCGATTGGACGGACTTATGACAAGGCTTAACAAATTTGGGGCTGATCTTGATCTTTTCTACAAAGTGTTCAACGAAGGGTAAACTAACATCAAGTATCTTGCCATAGATGTAGTAAATTTGTCACGATGCAGTAAATCTTAGAGAAACGTTGCCGAAGGCCCACTGTAACAGCAAAGTGAACACAAGTCTAACAAGACTTCCTCTAGATACCTAATAATATACCAGCCCTTTTGAAATTATAATGTATGAGAAATGGTCCATGAAAAATGGTCATTAAGGCACACAAGTGAGTCGAAATCATGCTGAGAAAGAATGTCAATAAGTACAATTGCCAAGGAAACAAGTTTAATAGTACAGCGCGCTGCTCTCCAAATATCACATAGAGCAATAACATTTCACATTAGAAATCCGGAACTATGTGGATAAACAATTGAAAATCATTTTATTTGACCGCCTATTGCGGTGTTATGAATTTTCCTATAAAGCCAATGATGTAGAGTGGTGTGTAAAAACGTTTGCGTCAGCCAAGATTCGAACCCAGATTTTACTGTTTCCGGGAGCATGTGCTAACCGTTGCACCACCGACACATGTGGATAAGCATGTTGAAAAAAAAAGAAAAACTGCTCTTATTGCGGCCTACTCATTTCTTTTTCCTGCAAAGATCTGCTACCTAATGACGTAATGCTATCCATTAAAAGCTGCGCGCTAATCAGCGAAAAGCTACAAAGGAACATCGGTTGTCTCAAAAAAAAAAGCGCTTCATAACCAATTACGTAGCTAATCTCGAAGTCTCGTCATAGTCTAAAGAAGGAAAAGTCAATACTTAAGATAAACCAGCCATAACCTGAGAGCCACGATGATCTGATCCCCCATTTGTGTGTGCTGCAGTTGTTTTAACACATTCACAACGATTTTCAGGATTTCCGGAAAATGGCGATAATTTTTTTCCGTTACCTCGAGCACTTGAGATCTTGACAAACATATAAAAAACACCTCTACCAATCTAACGATGTTCACATTGTCATCTGAAACATTTGTTTTACTTTCGTTCAGTTGTTCCATTTGAAAACTAATAATAAAAAAGGACTTAGCAGTGAGAAATCGTCTACAAAGCATTTTAACCAATGTGTTTAGCTGGACGTGATCGCGATGGTTCAGCTGCCGTTTGCTCAGAACACAAAAACGCTCGGCGAAAAAAAAAAGATGCATGGGTCCTAGAAAAAACTTCATCGCTTCAGATCATATCAAGTTCATAAAGATTTATCGCTCCAAATATTACGCATTTGAATTCATTGCCTGCAAAAATACGTTTGCTAGAATCTAAAGGTTAGATTATTTCAAACTGTGTACATTTGGATCAATGCGCATTGCGGGGCAGTTTTGGGCAAGAAAGCAAAACTGAAAAATTCAAAAACATGGTTTCTTACTTATGTCACGATTAATAAGTAAGTATCCTTGGTTGTCCAAACATAGCGCATTGAATATTCACCTAAGTTCACTATTACATGTTTCTTTCGCTTTAGGCTCTTGATACAATAAATACAGGAAGAAAAAAAGGAGTAGTTAGATTCCAATCAACTAGTAGGTTAATAACAAACGAAAACACGAATGACATTGACCTGTAAGCGAGTGTAGAAAAATAACAAAGGAAAATCAAAATGTCTAAACTGGGCTACTTAGTAATTGTCTTAAACTTATCAAAAACCATTGGTACTTAATCAGTGATGAATGCTCTAATTATCCCTACATTGGTGCTTCGAGAGAATTTTTTCCTGAAGTGTCAGAAAAATTTTTTGTGATCTCCCAGTAAGTTAGTAGTTAGGGTCGCTGGTCTGTTTGCATAGCGACGAAATTTGCTACTACAAGTTTGAGTCCTCTTAGGGTGACATGAATTCCGAGACTGGTTTAGTGAGCCGGAATTCCTAGTGGAGTTGTTCAGCTAGTCAGCACAGATAACACTGTTGGAGAGATAAGCCACTGCTGTGCTTTGCATGTCGAATTTCATGAGCAACGTATGACTATCATGATCCAGTAGAGCAGCGAAAAACTGAATTTCGTCAGAACCTCTAATCATTACGCTAAAATCAACTAAGTAGAAAAAAACCTTCGCAGTAAGATGCAAGACGGAAACATTGAGATATCTCAACCAGTGAAGATCCTCTAGGATGGCAGTGACAAGCCCACATGACCGCAATGTTACTGAGATATAAGCCAAACCGTAAGCTTCAATGGACTTCGAACCATTGATTACTCTTTTCGGATTTGTAGCTGCCATCCAGTACACCGACCGAAGTTCTTGTTTTGGCATTTTACTAGCTATGTTTCTTTTGACTTCACAACGAAGTTTTATTTATTGTCTATTCTTCTTCATGTCTTGAGTCTGCTTTTGTTTTCTTTTCCAAATTCTCTTAGTTCACATTTACAACGGTTTGTTCTTAGCTCAAAGTTGGGCATAAAGAATTAGACAGGAGCCTAGAGCTACATTTTGTAACTTATTTCTGCAGAGAAAATCAAGAATGATGCATTGAAGCGCTAATGAGCATACGTCTATATGCGTTAATTTAATGTTACCAAAAAAGTAGAATTCCGTCCTCTTCCTATACAATTATTAGTGTTGTGCGGTGCGAAGCAACTCCGAAAAACATTTAGAAATCAGTTCTCATGCAAAGTCGCGTAAATCAATGCTCTTGTCAGTCGAGTGTTAGAATTGTTACAATGTGTAACATTTTACAGAAAAAGAAGAAACAAATCGGAGGGTAGCCGTAGTCGAATGAATCATTGGATGTTAGTATGTACTTTCAAAGTGTCACCAGTTTACAAAAACCAACAGCTAAAAAAAGTTTTTCAGAATTTTTCTTTGGAATATGCAAGATTTTGAGGGTGAGTTACTAGCAAAAAATATGATTTATCTGACCATCAAGCTTTTACTTCCTTCCTTGAACAAGTATCCCTCGTATGGACCAAGTACAATCAAATGTATTGTCGCACATTCAGCAGGAACACAAAAAAAAACTTCCTCAAGGAAATGATAATAGAGTTTGCCAAAACCATCGCAAAAAAAAACCATTGGTTTTTAATTTGAAATAGAAAAAGTCTGTCAACAACAATTTGACGTACTGTCACCCTGTTCAGGAAGGGCGACAGATCAAAAGAATCTATCATTTTTCATCAATTGCAGAGTCTACCTTACAATTCATTACGAAGGGAATCCTTTCGTGCATATTAAAGGGGATTTGGATGAAGTCCTCAACAAACTGAGCACCTAAGATCAACAGAGACTGCCGTATGAACCACATTCAAGCCTCAACTATCCGCCGGAAGCACCACTTAGCCTGAACTGAGCAGCTGTCAATCTATTATTTCTACTTAGCAAAAAGTCGAACAGCACAACTTCCTCTCGTGCAAATGGTTCGTCATCATGCTGCAGCGGACAATGATATCACTCAATTAGAATAAAAAAAAACTTTTAAATCGATGAAAAAATTTTCATCATAACTCTTTTTCTGAATTACAGAGTCAACTGTCCAGCCCAAAAGACTCTAAAAATGTTAGGAGAGATTATGCTGGGTGTAGACGTTAAAATAGTAAGCACAGGTGGTTCTTTTCAGAGGACTCAGAAAATGACCCCGAAGAGAACTTTTTGCGACACAAAAAGCAATACATATCGACTGCAGACGTTTTGAAGAAGCCTCCGGCTAACACGGACACAAAATAGTTACAGTTCTGCTGTGCTCACCACACAGCTGACTCATAGTTTGCCAGTTCACTCGCCTTGAAAATTTCACGGAGAAAAAGATGAAGTGAAAAGTAGTCCATAAGAAATCCACTAAGGAAATGAGATGGATGGGAAATTGATTATCAGTTATCTTTTAAACGAAAAGAAACTAATAGGAACTAGCATGAGACTGCTACAATTGAAGATACAGTTTTTTGTTTTCCAAATACCACTTTGAGGTTATCGATGGCGTTGATTATTCGCATCCGTGCCCATGATTGATGACAATCGACCCATTATTTGTCTTACAAACACACTCGAGATTGAATTCTCTTGAAAATTTACCGATATTGGATTATAAACGCTTTTTCGCGTCATTATGAGTTCGAAATCCCACACTACTGTATATGTTGTAGCGCTTGGTGAAACGTTCAGAGACGAAATTGAGCATATTAAGAGGGACTTTCTATGTATAATAATCTGCAGAGGCTATGCAAAATTTGTGCTGAGTAAATTCTATGTTATTTTGATGTTTCCAGACTTCGAAGAATGCGAAATCGCCAAAACGTCAGAGTTAGTATTTTAATGAATAAATATTGCTATTAATAACCTCGTGTATGCTAGAAAACAAAAAATTGACTCATGAATAGGACGACTGGTACATAACTATAAATTTCGAACAAGCTAAAGTACAAAAATGTGCTTCAATTACTAGGTTTTAGAGAGTAGTCTCGCTAAGGAGGAAATGGTTCGCTCAGTCAAAGAGGTGAAGCAGCATGCGACCAACTGCGGTGGATAAATGACTCTACGAAGGAAAACCATCAGGAGGAAAAGAGTTTCAGTCAGATCGTACACATCTTAGCAGGACAGTGACGAGAACAGGTGTAGGTGATTCATCGCTATGAAACTACTCTATTCGTCATAGATTCCCTATTGCGATGATGAAATCAACAACGCACTTGTCTAGTACAATGGCAGAGCAAGAGTAATCGCTGACGCTTTGGTGGTTTCGCATTCCTTAGAGTTCGGATGGGTCAAATTGACATGCAGTCAACGCAGCCATATATTTCCGGACGCTATGGGGAAGTTGTGATTTTATCGGTTTTTTTTAATATGCGAGGGCCTGAAATCCCACCTTGAAGCACAAGATCAAATGCATCCGAGACACAGGCAAGCACTACGTGGCCGGGCACATTGCGTAAGCATACTAGATATTGAACATCCGTACAGGCAAGAAAGACCACATCGAGAGCTTCTTCAACCATTTGCCCCGCTACCATTCACGAGTTCGGGAAGCCAGGTGACAAAAGCAATGATGATGCCAAAGAGCGACTCCGACAAAAGTATGGACGTCGAATTTGAGCGTCTGGACCGGTAGAGGCCCACTAATAAATTTGAAGAAAACAGTTTAGAAAATATAATAATGGCACCACAACTATTCACAAGGGTCTACTTTCGTAACCAAAGCGGCTTATCTGCTTCTTATCTGGTCCGATTAAGAAGGTGTTTGGCTGAGTAGATTGCATTCAACTTTTCTCTTCTAGGCTCTGAAGAAGGCAGAACTGCCGAAACATTCGCTCTTAGCACTGTAGTACATTTTACTGATTAAATCATACTGTTCCCAACCTCGTGTCCGCTCATAACGAAATATGAAAATATTTGCTCATTACACAATGTTGAGCGATAGTCGGTCCTGAGAATGTACTTGTTTTACTACTTTTAGATGCGAAAGTACTTTGTAAATGGTGCTAATAGAGAGCTAACAGATGGAACAATATTAAAAATTGAGCCAATTGTAAATTTATGAAATGCGGGCGGTGACACATGCTGTTATTCGAGTGCACGTAAGTAATATCATCAGTGCTTAAAAAAAAGAGCTGCCCATCTTCAACTGATAAATAAAACGCCACCGGTTTCCTCTCTTCTTTGTTCGATGACAACAACACTCCTCTGAGGCCTCTTTCGCAATTTAAATACTCTTATTTCAACAGTCTTGTAATTACAAAAAAAAAGATGAAAACTCACATAGAAATACTTTCTAGTTTTTAGCTTTTGATTAATTACTAGTGGAATTATATACCACTACTAGTTTAGGGGCAAGTGAAGCATGGTATTATATTTTGCGAGTGTAGAAATTCGATGTGATCGAATTTCAAAACACCGCCAGGGTCGATCAACAACAACATCAACACTGAATAACAAATGGCGCGCAACAACAGAAGGAAGAATGGAAGTGAACAAAGAGCAACACATGACGAAAACAACGACGCATTACTGGATAGAGCGTTCAGAATTCAGGACTGCGAAGAGTGGAATTACGATTAAAATGATGCAAAATGATGTAAGCTAATAAAGACCGAGATTTAGGAAATATTAGATTGTTCAATCTGCAAAAATCTTCCTTACCAATCTTGTAGCAGCGGTGTGATGTTATAACTATATATCAAGGATACTGAGTGATACACAAAGCCTTCGACCTCAGCCGGGAATTAAACCCACGCTTCACCTAAAACAGAGACGACTGCTACCACTACACCACCGATATCACCGCTCTGCTATCAGTCATATCGATATAACGCATTGGAGATGTCGCTGACCGAAAGTCAACGAGTTTGGTGTGATAAGCACATATTGGCATTCACTCAGTTGAGCTGACATCTAATGGATATGTATATATAATCTTCAAGATCAGTCTTTGAACTTGCGTTTCACCCATATCCGGGGAGCTTGTTACCACTACATCAGCGAGACTACCGCCCTGCTAACACTCCTGATATTAGATGACTTTCCTCATAGGTAGCTCAGACATACTATAAATTCGATTATAACAAATTCAAAGATGCTGAAATAGACCAGATTCTAAAAAAAACTTGGCAAAATGTCGTAGAAATAAGCGATGAGTCAGAGTAATTTTTATCAGTGACTAGAAGTGACTGGATGAACAGTATGAAATCATAACGTAGTAAGAAAGTTAAGGCACGTTTCAATCGGTTGTTTTTTGATGAAAGTGAGCAATATCAATTATTCTGATCACAGACTGGTAAATGAAGCATTCTCAATGCAAACAGTGATTATTTTGTGACAACTGTTTCTTTAATCGTTATAAATCTATTCGCTTCAATTAAACCAGTCTCATCAGCGAAGCTGTGAGATGGGTGGACGAAGCTCTAAGCTAAGGCGAGATCGTATAGATGTTTGCGGGGCGTGGGGTGGCACAGTGTTTAATGATGCAGTGTATCCCGAAGCATAAGAATGAGCAAGATTAGTTCAAACCTTCCCTGAACACAATCACTTAACAACTGCCTTAGCTCGGTTAGCTCCATGATTGAAAGGAGAATTGTCTCGACCAAAATTTCACGGCATTTATGATGAATACGAAATCCTCAAGTAGCAGTCGAAGCAACACGTGAATTGCTCTAAGATCGTTTTGAAGGATGAATGTTGAGAATCGAATACTCTGCGAAGGAACCGGCAGTTGCTTAGTGAGTTTTGATAACGATAAATAGTCATTTGCTCCACAACCCAAATAGGTCCTATATGGCTTACGTCAAATCGTCGAAAGAGTGCTAATAGAACGGTGACCTCACTGGTGTAGTGGTAGCACGCTCCACCGGTATTGGTGATACACAGGTTCATATCCCTTGTGAGGCTCAAACTTTCGCATCTCTCTCAGCATCCTTGGATTTGTGGCTTATATGAATTTACTCCAATCACTTGTATGTTTCGCATTCACAATAAATGCGGTTACTGCAACATTCAATCCGTTGTTATTATGAAAGGAAGTCTGATAAAATTCCGCTCGACCGATCACCGCAGGAGACCAAAATTATCGGCAAGATACGTCAAAATCTTCGTAGGATTATGACTGCCCCGTTATCTTGGATTTTTCCTCAAAATTTGGAATAAACATTATGGTTTGATAGTATCCTGACGACGTTGTTGAAAGTTGTGCCAAATCGGTGAATGAATGGAGGCGGATGTTATCGAGAACGTTGAATGACCCCATAATGGATTTCTAAGAGAACGCGACGAGGCGTGACATCTGACGAACAATGAAACGGAAACCAATCCATAATACGTTGATTACCTAGATGGAGGTTGATGTAAAAAGTGAGGGAGGTCCGAATTGTTGAAATGAAAGAAAAGTAAATGATGGAAAACAAAAATCTTAATATTACTTTACTTATATTTTCTACAGTGAGGAGAATAAGAAGAACGCAAAGTGGCTAAAGAAATCCGAAATGATGGTGAGTGATAATCTCACAGAGGAAACTGAAATGTAGTTCTGCAACGGAGAAAGAATCTATCAAACAGCATGGACAGTATGACATCTTGCAGTACAGCCAGTAAAGCATGAAATACGGAGATCTCCACCTACGTCCTCTGCTCAGTCTCACAAGAATCGAAAAAACAGCTTTCAGAGGCCAGCTCAGGGATCGCAAATGGATCGAATCAGAGCGAATCATTTAGGATTATGTACAGCACTGCTGATAGCCGAGTAGACTGACCACGTCGCATAATATGAAGACGCTAGCAAGGGCTAAATACGCTAAGTGAATTGCATGGGTAAAGATTTACGGAGGACAGCAAATGTAGTTGAGGCAGAACCACAGTCTTTTCGTGAGTCTACACGTTTTGTAATGTCAGTGCTGAGAATGTTGATGCTACCAACATAAACCAGATAGACAAGCTACTATATGCTCTAACTCTTTCAATATCGTCTGTATGTCATTGCGATGCACTTGATCAAACCAAGCAGATAAATTAGAGTACCGCAATTCAATTTTGCACTGCATAGTCACAAAAGGCCAAAGAAACCCACGAAATTTGGTGGCCTCTATGTTGAAAATGAAAGCACGTACCATTTTATATGCCTTAGTTTGGGAGAAAAATTGTTAAAGGATGCGAAATATCGAAAAGATTTAGATAGATTTGGTGATGATGAAATAGCGGCAATAGCCCGTATCTCGTGAACTTACTCCAGATCCTGGTGACTAACTTTGTGACCGTGGAATCTTCGCCATGTAATGGATCTCAAAAGGGTTGCTAAGCTACGTGCTGTGTCTGCAAACTGCGAAGAGATGGTCAGAGAGTGGCAAACACTAAAGATGCATGTAACAATATCCATGAAACCTGGAGTTTCTTCTCTTTGTATAGGGCAAGGGCCTACTCATCGGTCCATGTCAGCACCTCCCAAGACGGGAAAAATTAAGCGACCCATATAAGCGTGATACTTCGAGTTCGCGGGTCCGTCAAGAATTTAGAGCTCGCCGAGAGGCTGTGGCAAGTAATAACGAAGGAGACGTTCTTGACGTTTGCTAAAGTCAGTCGATGACTTGCAGAACTGCAGATTAAAGTTTTCATAGTTTATCAACGAGCTGAGAACGACGTCCTCTAACAGATGAACATTTTTTGAACCTTTCTATTGACAGTTGAGATGTGATAAACAACGCCGAATGGATTCAGTTTCAATATAAAAAGCAGCTCTCCGAACTTGGTGTATATTTCTTCAATCACCGATATAGCTATAGAAAAGAAAGAGGTCAAAGTACATGATTTAATCCCATTTTTTTAAGTCAATTACTTACAGCTAGCTAGCTGGTCATTCAAACTAGCATGGATGGACAGAGTAGGATTGAATTGTACCCCGAGCCATTTTCACTGAATAGATAGACCACTCAGCAATTCGATTTGCACATCAAGTGATCTGAAACGATGAAGAGTGTTCCACTGGTCACATGATCTGACCTCAGGAGCTTTCAGCTAAATGAAATGACGTGCTGCATTGCGGCAAACCAGACACCTGGAAACTTTTTACTGATGTAGACATTGGGAGGAATAAGGAGATAAGGCTTCCAGAGAATTTGGTAATGTGTGCATAGCGTCGAGAGAGAGAGTAGGAGTTACAAACGACAGGTTCATAGTGTTTCTTTTGCCGACTGTAGCACAAGGAACTCACTGGAAGATATTGACTCAATGATCATTCTTTACAAGTTTTCCAATAATGTTAGTAGAGATTAGGCTTTTATCTAAAGGAGTGTGTAAGGCAGTTTGATGAGAGGTTATTGTCTAGAGCTCAGTAGGAGTCGACGATTCTCAACAAATTCAGATCTGATTTAATGTAGGGGATTTCATCCTAGTGACGACGAAATGGTTAGGTTACCATGGTGTGCCAATATTCGTATTTGGTAGTGGTAATTCAAACTTGGCCATGAGAATGATTGATGTCCGCAACGACAAGGTAGTCGAGTAAAATCTGGCTTGTTTGAAAGAAAAATTTCATACATTCATTATCTAGATCGTTTATACGATCACAAACACTTATTTGTGAATGTATTGATCCCATACGACTATAATGAAGGACATCTGGGATGGCAAGAGAATGCTAGAATGGAGATTGTCTTCTATTACTTATACATCTTCTTATCCTTGACTAGATGGTGTTCTACGAATGGAAGTTCAGTTTTTTCTCAAAACACTTTTTACCAATGTTAGCATTGATAAGTTATCTCTTGTTTCCTTCATGGACAACACGAAAATCTCCTAAAACACTTAAGTTATGGGCAAAAACTCGATCTCAGGAGAGAGTTGAACCTGAGTCTTGCGCGCGTTCTACCACTGTACCACAAATGTCACCGCTTCGCGCCCACTCTTTCTTCGATATGAACTGTCGAAGTTGGCGGCAATGAGCCCTTAATGGGCTTGGTTTGGCAAACGACATCATATCACAGCTAGAAAGCTCTTAAATTGAAGAGATAGATTTTACGGCGTGAGTTTGTTACTGAAAGCTTCATTGGATACGACTGTGCAGTAATTGACAGCTGTTTCAACAAGATTGTAGTAGATAGGCCTCGTGGAATATAGTAGATTGATTCAATTATCAAATGCGAATTATTACTAGTTCGAGACAGATTGTTCGACTTTCCACCGACTTTTCCACGTGAGACTTCTTGATATTTTCACAAAGCACGCCCTTTGATTTTTCGGATGCTGAGGGAATAATGTATAGTAGTAATAATAGCGCAATGGTGGTGATGCGTCAATATCCGGGATAGTACAGAGTACAGGCCAAAAATGTAAACGGTTGTAATTGCGTTTATGCTTGAACATAAAGGAGAAAGTCTCATAGCCGAACAGCAAGCGATGCTTTATGCCGTGTAGAGGTAATGGCTGTTTTCAAGTGTATTGAAAGTGGGACGGGCCCATGGGCCTTGTACCTATTTGAAATGCAATAGATTATATGACAACGGAGAACAGTGTTGTGCGAAATTACCATGTGTACGAGACTGATTATATTAAGTTGAGCAAAAGGTTTTGATAATTACCCAAAAGTTTTACTTTTGACATCTTTGTGTTTTTTGTGATTTTCTTTGTGATTTTGTTTACAGTTTTGTAAAAAAAAATTATCTAGTTTATTGATTCAAACCCCAAAAAAGCCTATTGAACAGTTTGATTTTCATGTGTTGATCTGCTAATATTCGTGAAAAGGATTAACGATTCTCGAGGCCGTTGATAAGATTAATAAGGATGAAGGTGCTGGCACGGTGACAAAATCGACTGTGAGCAGATGGTTTAAGCGATCCATAGAAGGCGATTTTGATCTCAAAAACATGTTTCGCTTTGAACGGTCATGTGTTCTGAATGAAAGTAACTTGCAAGCCGCTTCGGATGCTGGGCTTTCGTCGAGCACTCGTGATTTGGCTAAAGAGTTTGGTGTTTCGGAGTGGACCGTTATCAACAAGTTGCACCAATTTGACTTTGTCCACAAGAAGTACAAGAAGAGTGGCAAAAAGTCGTAGAAGTATGCTGGCCTTCATCTCATAATTATTATTTGAGCCAACATGCCATGTAGTCCGGTAATGGGCAGCCCTATACAAATGTTTCGACCTTACGGTCTTGTCAGTTAGGCACAACCTGTCGTCTTTCAGTCTTCTTAGCCAATTCTCTCCGGAGTCCCTGAACTCCGTATGGATAACTAGCGCGGCGAACGATTTACACTGTAACTCAAGTGAAATTATCACCGAATATGCAGTGTTGTACACTCAATTGCTCTTTGGCTGGTATTTGTGTAAGTTTATACGTTTATTTCGAACTTTTATTAAGACCACGCTCATTTCAATACATCTCATAATTATTCTATGGAGCTGTACAAGAGCCCATTAATATATTACATGACATGCTGGCTCAAATATTAATTATTAGATATATTGAAATTTGTGCGCAGTCTTAGTAAAGCACTCGAAATAGAGTTATGCTAGTGTATAGTTCAAAAAATACTTATTGTTGTTTTTGTTGTTAGTCTACGCATATAAACGAAACTAGCAAAAATTTTTTCAAAGATTTTTGCTCATCCCAGGGTAATGTATCTATATGTGAAAACGACACAATAATCTCTAAGGAAACTACGTGTGAAAACGATGCAAAGACTCGTGTGCATGTAGTGACTTGATAGTCAGCACAAAAAGGTGTGTGTGAATCTCTTCGTGTTAAAGGGTAGACAATACTCGTTATTTCTAAAGAATATTGCTCATAGGCTGAGGTTTCTCTCGTTTCTCCTTCTTCAAAGCCGCAAAAGCTAATTGCGCACTCAATCAATGTTTTCAAAACTTCAGCGGAGATCCCCAAATCCTAAATATTATTCTAGAATTTCTTGATAAGGCTTCTGCTTACAGCCTCATGTCTGCCTGAAAAGAATTCATCGAACTTCAATTTTCCATCCCTCACGCCAAATAATGGCGCATCACCCTCTTTATTGCAAGGGTCTTGATGCGAAGGTACTAGGTTTTCTCATAAGTTTTTGCATTAAGCAATAAACACCAAAATCATGCTCAGCCGGAGAGACTACTAACACTACGTGCTACTGTGAGCACCTGGACAGCTGCAATCGGGCTCTGTCGCGTCGATGTCGTCGCAATTTCATTCTGCTTCAAGACAACGCAAGGGTGCATGTCGCCAAGTTGACAATGAGGAAGTTGAGCGAACTGGCTGGGAGTTGTTGGATCATCTGCCGTACAGTCCCGACTTATCGCCGACTGATTTTCACCTTTTGCGCTCACAGGAGCGCATTATGAGCAAGAAGAAGTTGCGAAACATCAATTATTTACGTCGAAGATTGACAACTTTCTTCGAATATAAGGATGGGTTTATGTAGCGAAACTGCATATCCGACCAAGCTTGTTAAAGGTTAGTGGCTGATGGCTAACATAGAGATGTTGAAGAATGAGTGGAGGAGCGAATGTGCCTTGGTGGTGTAGTGGTAGTTGCATGCGTCCCCGGTATGAATGAAACGCGGGTTCGACTCCCGTCTGAGGCAGTATCTTTGCTCACCACTCAGTTCTCTGAGATGTACAAGCAATATCGCAACACTGCGAAAAAAAAGCAGTAAAACTACTAGAACTTCGGTGTACTAAATCTATGAATGACCACTTCAGTGAGCGCGATATTGATTTTCTGCTTGAGAGATAGAAGAAATATGTTCAGGCTGATGGTTCATACTTTGAATAGCGTTGTTAAGCAATCTGATTTGCATATGATTGATGAATTTGGTGTTTTTTGCTCTAGTGCCAAAGCTGATGAGAAGACCTGATAAAGCATACACCTCAAGTGTGACGACGAGGGTTTCAGAGTAATCTCTGCTTATACAATGCATACGGTGATCACTCGATGTGCAAATAGCGAATGACTGCTTGGATCGAAAGGATGTTTAGAATTTCCAATCAGAAAATCCAGCTAGACGTGCAGAATAATGTCATGAATTCTTATAATCCGAACATAATCGCAAACAAGCGGAGTATCTTCCTAGAATACAAAACATCAATAGTAGCAATGACGTAGTAAAATGTCAAAGCATTGTTATTCCACACTTCAGGGGGAAAAAAAGCTCACTAACCAGTGTAAGATTCTTCTGATGGAGATTAAATCAAACCCATATTGACTCGTCAGGATGCACTGCCATTTCTCTATTGAAAGAAGTGTTTTGAACGTTATTAAGGTTTTAGAACTTTTCACAAGCTACACGTCAATTGAGGAGTTCACGTGAGGGTACGGACCCGCTCTTAGATCGAGTTGTAGTCCGAGGCATCAAAGAATTTTTTGGTGAGGATAATTAAAGCGTTCACCAATTCGTTTATTCTCATGCAAACACTGACTCGTTCACAAGAACTCTTCACAATTGGTCAAATGTCCTCTTCCCTGGCAATGTCGGCTGTCTGTATTGTGACTAAATTCGCACCATTTTACCTGGTTTCTTGATAAAAGACGGCTATTTATGAGGTTAATAGCGTATTTTCAATTGAACACGTTATTTTTGATGTAAACTTTCGCGATTAGGAACTTGCTAGGAACTGATTGACGTAACTTATCTGACCAGCTGCTTTATATCGAAATTCTTCCAACATATAGGCAAAAATAATGCTCTTAATGAATGAAGAGGACTTTAAATTTTAACTTCATGATATTTGCAAGCAGAACGAAAGTAGGAATTATTTTTACGAAATAAGTGACATTCCAATTCGTGTTTACAAGCACTCAGGGTATTTCCTAGGAGAAAGAGGTACAATCCATTATTAAATATCCTATTACCATCTTTAGCCCTCCTGTACGGTAATAAATCGTCAGCTATTAATTATGTTAAGATTTGAAATTTTTCTAAGTGTATACGGAACGATTCCCAACGGCAACTGAACAACGAGTTCTATCTTGCGGACTTTGTGTCTGCTTCGTCCTGCATTGATATGACAAGTGTACTGCATTTATTTATTAGCAGTCATATCTTTCGTTTCGAGAGTTTCTTGAGACTACGATCAGATTTCTCAGCTGTCATATAGTTTTTCTAATCTTGTCGCATAAGAGTTCATTATGGTTCGGAATTGAGAATTCTGACAGAACAGTATTCGAAGTTTTCTGGAATACGGGGTCTTAATTTTTCAGTGCAATTGAAACGTCAAAAGTTTGCATGCTTCAATGTTTTTTCTTCACACGGTGGCCTGCAAATGATATCATAAAGGATTATGTGGTGTTGACATATTCTTTTCGTTATTTTGAATGTGTAAAACTAAATCAATGCTGTAATGATAAGCCACTTTAACGCTATTTGCCCTATTAGAAATTGTAGTTATACCCAATAATACTGAGTGATATGCGCATCAATGAACTTTGGCTATAAACTGGAATCGCGTTCAACTCACCCTCGGAAAGAGAAAAATGCTGGTTTGACCTCCTGCCCAAGGTTCAAAGCTTTCATATCATTCAGCATTCTTGGATAAGCAATAAGACTATTTATGATATGGGCCATTATACTGTGTACAAAATAACTTATTGAACCTTTGTAACAAACAATTCATGGAGCGTCGCCTCTTTAGAGAAGCTCATTCATGTAATGACATCCGGCATACGGCACTGATATTTGAAAGAAACATATGCCACTTTTGCTCTAATGGAAATTTTCTACCACACAAAACTCATCCACTACGGCACGCATTGTCCACTTTACTTCATATCCTCTCGCACTGCTCTTTAGCAAGGTTAATTTCCTATGTGGAGTGAAATGACAATCAAAAAATATTTATCGGATACAGAGTCGGAAACTAAACGATAGAGATCTGATGTTTTGAAAAAACCTCGTATCTGGTACTATAGACTCTGCTACCCAAGTGTTCTTTGTCCAAATAAACTCAGTCTTCGGTATCATGACACATAATTTGCTTTATTCACTGTTTTACATTCAGGGTGTTTTATCCTCCGAGGTGATTTTGACTCAGTGAGAACCAAGAGATTGGAAACTAACCGATTACAGCGTAGCTGGCTCTCACACTGATTCGATACTGGTTTGGTAACTTACTATCAGCTTCAGCTCGGTAGACTAATTTCTTGGGCCTTCCGCTCTGTTCCTTGGTTCACAACTTGTTAAAGTGCCTAAAAAGAGCTTGACGGGCTCAAGCGAGATGGAACAACGCTGTAAATCCGCAACGAATCATAGATTTTATTGTCAATAAGGGGGATGTCATCGTCAGTGAATGGTGGGATATCAATAGAGAACCTCCATTAAGGCTATTAAGGGTCACATTTGAGGAACTGCCCTCGGTGATATTCCGCCATCTACTGTTAGTAATAAAATTCGAAAGCTTATATCAAATAAGTTTCAGATTTGTATCCAGGCGCCCACTAATACAAATTAGCCCATATGCGGTGCGACAGTCGGTGTACCCAAAAGGATATACGTAGCACTGAACATGTTAAACAATGGTTTCAAAGAAAGAGTAATTACCGTACCTATGGACACTATAACATCCACACACTCGCCAATCTGTTCAACCAAATGCCCTCTCTCTGGACGTGTCTCTCATCATTATTGGCTTACTCTATTCTCATAATTAAGTGCACAGTTTTGATTGATTGCGAGCAAATGTGGTTTTTTTTTCAGTTCGACTTCATTTGAATTTCCTTCACTCATTGATGACGCCCAACCTTTACTTGACAATGTTCTCGGCGTTGATGAATTTCATTTAGATGCCAAGTTAAGATTACATACGACTCTGTTACGAAATGATCAATCTTGGAGGGACCGCAAAATTTGCCCCCCTTACTGATAGATTTGCTCAGTAGTGAATGTACGCAGATTCGTAATAGGGATAAATGTGGCTTCGTTTAATTATCTACGTACTAAATTTAATACTCTGATAATCTACTTCACTAAAAACTGTGCTAAATCTAGCAATTTTTCCTCACCATGTGCCGCTAATTCAATTTGCTTTATTCTTTGAGATCGTAAGAAATTTTGAGGATGGTTGCCCAAACAACCATAGTGATTTCCCGAAACGATATGATTTCCTTGCGTCGGTTTGGACAAAAATTAGTCCTACTATGTTTGATAAACATCATTGGATACTTTCGGTTATGAGGGAACAAATGAATATTAGATCTCATTCGCTGTACATGAATTTTTCAAAGGAGTATTGGTGATCATTCAAAAGCTTGAATTTCTGGCTAGAACCGAGAGTGGCCGGTTTTTCAAAACACCCTTTTATAACGCTGTAAAATCCAAATCAAATGTAAAAATTCAAAATTCATGCTTTACAGTGACCGCGCGCCTTCATTTTTATCAGGCGTATAAACAGGTGGAAGCCGAAAAGCACTTCAATGTGTGAAGAAATTTTTTCAGTATCCTAGTCGATCGTTGCATCTGCACTGTCTTTCGAAGTGAAGAAGAAATTCCAATTTGAGTAACAAAACATCGACTGCGAGAATATTTGTCCGTTCTACACTCAACTCCAAAGGATCGAGCTTGAACAGTGTGTAGAAAAGGATTGGTTTCTTATAACTGAGCATTACGTTGCCTTAAACACACCTGTCGACATCAATGAGTAACGTAACAGTTTTGGTGTCATACCTTTTTTGAGTCTCTCGTCGTTACTTCTTTCTCAATGCTTTTTTGATAATCAGGCACAGTGTTATAACAGTAAGCTTTCTTGAGTACAGTGCTATGGTATATTGGATGGAGTTTCAGATGCTCTCCTTTCCTTAGGGCTTTCGAAGATTGGAGCTTGCGGTCTGCTCAGTGGAGTAAATTCAAAAGTAGACCTGCGAAGACAGTAAACGCTAAGTGATCAACCAGTGAGCAGTCTGGATTACGTCTTCTGAAAAAGTAGACAATCTCATCTGAAATTTTTTTCAAAAGTTCAAGAACCTTTTGCTTGTAATATTTACTGAAGTGCGCTTCTTATCACAAGTTCTACGATCAGTCCTCTTTCAATCCTACATCAGCGTGCACTAATGTTCATAGGTGTACAATGGTGTAAGATCGTTAATGAATGTAATATCATAGCATATTCTGAGCCTTTCATGAAGTCTGATATGGCATTCAAACAGTGCAAGACACGTGCTTCGCCATTACAGCTTCGTCATTTTGGTTCATTCAGTTCGGCGGGGCTATAGTCCCTATTAAGGGGAACCGATGCGAAATAATATGTACGCTTACCGTTACGCTTGATCTCCATTTCGTTTAGCCTGCTTTATTTGCGCCATTAGCCGATAGGTGATAAAATCACACAACGGGCAGTGATGTACGGTCGATTGCTCGTGGTTGGTGGAAAATATATATTATCATACCTTTTTTGTTCGACTGTTTTAACGACAAGTTTAATATTTCGGCGTCGGTTTCCTATATAGAGGATGTCACCTCGCAGAAGTGACTGATCCGAATGGCACCGTGCAAATGACGAGGCTATAATTCTGAAACACGTGCCTTGCACTGTAGAAGTGTCATAAATAATATATAGTTCAATAAATAAGTATCCATAAATATCCCCATAAATA